GCCTATTCAAATATATACTGGCCGCAAAACCGCTAAAGTGTGAACCTAGGGTAAACTGGAGCAGACAGAATCTGGAGCATTGTAACCAATGAGCTTCTATCTTCAGCTTGCTCAGTGAGAGACACAGAACTGGCCAGGGGGAGCTGCTGGTGAGAATCACTAGATTCTCACCCATGGTTTCAAATGCACCCTGTGCACAAACAGCTGCAGCTGTCAGATTTGTGTACCGAATGAATCACTGTCCGGCACCGCCACTGTTCACATGTAACTGCTCATCTGAATGTTTGTGTTGAGTTTCTGACCAATAGCGTGCGTCCAGGATCAGCGTTTCTGCAGAGTTTTGCCCGCACACTGGCTGCAGCTAATTGGCCTGTTTTTTATGTGACCATAGCACAGTGTTGCTGCATCTATTACTGTATGCCATCACCTGTGTAGTGCAGGGACCTGACTGTTTGAATGTGATTTAAATGGATTGTTTAGGTTTGTTCCCAATGGTATGCCGCTATTCTAGTTTCTAGTTAATTACTAGCCACAAACCTACACATTGTTTATGATTTAGTCCTCATGCACACTGGACATTTTTACAGCGGCTGTTTTTGGCTTTTGACGTTTTTTTTCTACAGCCAGTAAACCCCCCAGCATGTTATCCTATATGTCCATGCACACATAGACTGTAATCAGCGTTTTTTGGCAGAGACGTTTTTGGCTGGAAAAAAAAAACAGGACTCGTGGGTTTCTAGAGGAGTTTTTTTTAGCTATAAAAACGCTCTAACGCTGAAACATTCGGCAAAACACGATAGAAGGCCGGCGTTTTTGGACCTTTTTTGACCCAAAAACAATTTTTTTGGGAAAAAAACACTAAAAACTGCAAACGTGAGACAACTCCGCTAAACGCGGCAAAACGCCAATGCAAAAACACTAAAAAAGCTGAAAAACTCACGTTTTTAACATGACTTTACACAGCTAATGTTACCAGTGTTATCAAAACGTCCCATGTGCATGAGGACTAATTCAGGCCATAGACGGTCCGTTTATCGGCCGATTTTTCATCTGAAAGAATAATTGGCCGATTTTCGCACTGTTAGTGAGGCAATGGCATCGACCGATTTTCGTGGTTCCTCCTCATTTCTTTTATCGGTCATGCTGGAAAATTTGTGAAAAATGGCCGATTTTCGCAATTATTGGTGGCAACAGAACAACCGATGTTTAGTTTTCGGACGAAAAATCAGCCAATAATGAACTATCTATGGCCTGAATTAGGCTCAGTTCACACTAGCTTTGTCAGCAGGCGTCAGACAGGCGTTTCGGAAGCGTTTTTAACACTTTTCAAACTCCTATGAAAATTCTGCACATGGCAGCACACAGTGCTGTTGACACTGAAGCGTTAGCGATGCGTCACATTGCGTCACGACAAAACTGATGCCTCTTGTCGAGTCAGGAGGAGTTGAAGCCTCCCATTCAAGTCTATGGTGTCGCTCCGCAAATGCCTGGCAGGCTTTTGCGGTGCGGTTACAACGTGGTTGCGGAGCGTTAATATCATTTAACTTCATTATAGGCATTTGTGGTGCAGTTTTAACGTTTGGCAAACTCCTATCAACTGCCTCAAAGCCGCACATAGGGCGTTTGGGGAGCGTTTGAGGAGCGTTAAAAACAATTCCCAAACGCCTGTCTAACGCCTGTCAAATGCTATAGGGTCGTTTGGCAAGAGTCAGAAATAAAGTCAAGTGTGAATGAGCCCTAAATGTGCAGATAAGGCAACTCCAATTAACCCCTTGGCGCCGGCGCCTCCCGGCCCTTTAAGGGTTTCAGAAATCGGGGTTTTAGGGTCATGTGACCGCATTTTTACGTGCTTTTTGCAGAAATGCTCTAAAGTCCATTTCACATAGTTTCCTATGGGACACGTTCACACCTATGCATTTTTTCGTGCTTTTTGCAGAAACGCTCTAAAGTCCACTTAACATGGTTTCCTATGGGAAATGTTCACATCTATGCATTTTTCAGCCGCTGCATTTTTGGAGAGGATCAGGGACTTTTTTAAACGCAAAATGGGGCATTTTTGGTTAAATGGAATTTCTGCAGAAAGCACATGAAGTGCGTTTTTGAGGCGTTTTTCCCTTTTTAATCTGCCCAGCAACAAGTTGGCCAAAAAACCCCCATAAAAACCGCAAAAACGCATGAAAATGTGTCAAAAAACAAGCATGTAAAAACGCAAAAGGCGCTGCAAATAGCACTGCCAAAACAGATCAAACGCAAACTGCATTGGTGAACCAAGCCTTTCACTTTCGATGATAATGGTAAACAGGACAAATTATTTCATGTATTTATTTATTTCAGGTACTTATATAGCGACGTTAATTTACGCAGCGCTTTACTTATATATTGTACATTCACATCAGTCCCTAACCCTCAAGGGGTGTACAATCTAAGGTCCCTAACTTACATTCATACATACACATACTAGGGCCAATTTAGACAGGATCCAATGAACCTACCAGCATGTCTTTGGAGTGTGGGAGGAAACCGGAATACCTGGAGGAAACCCACGCTGGCACAGGGAGAACATGCAAACACCAGGCACGTGGTGCCTTGTTTGGAATAGTGGGGGAGAATCTCCATAAAGGGGACAAAGACAGGGGCAGACCGACCATTTGGAAACTCAGGCACTGCCCGAGGGCCCAGGCTCAGTAGGGGGCCCCATGAGATGCCCCTGGTACCTTTTTCATAGGTTTTTTTTTTTGAGTTTGGACAAGGACACAGGGGCCCCATGATCCCCTATTGTCCGGGGGGCCCCATGATCCCCTATTGTCCGGGGGGCCCCATGATCCCCTATTGTCCGGGGGGCCCCATGATCCCCTATTGTCCGGGGGGCCCCATGATCCCCTATTGCCCGGAGGCCCCATCAGTTTTCAGTCCGCCCCTGGCCACAGACAGCAATTAAAACTTGAAAGGTGTTCTATTTCATCTAATTTTTATCCAAAACTAAATAACAAAAACAATTTTGCATTTAGTTCTACTTTAAAGATAATTCTGTATACTTTTTTTCTAACTATATTCATTTCAAACATCCAATCATGAGCAGGAGAAAGAATATATTTTTTTTAAATTCCTTTACACAACTTCATTAAACTTTCTATGATGTTAAATGAAGTGAGGATTTCTGAATATAGATGTAAATGATGTATATTATATGCGATCCCTTTAAATGAATGTTTGTGTGCAGTTTGGTGTTGAAGTTGTAGAATGGATTCTGCCTGCTGTTAACTGTCTTGATATTAAACACCAGATGAGTGTAGGAATGTGCAGTTACTGAACTTGCATGCAGTTCTATACTTTACTATGTTTAGCAAGTGACAGTCAACAGCAGCAGATTGTATCACTAACAAGTCCACAATTTGCAGTAAATGTAGCTTTAAATCACCGGATCTGCCTTTGTCATTACCACCCACATGTACACGCCCGACTGACTATACTGTAGCTTCCTGTTACATAAAAACACAGAGGAAAAATGTCACAGGCAGGCCTTCGCTGCAAGTCTGAGCCTGGAAACTTCAGCCCTTCTATTCTACTTGTCTGTGCGGCCACGATCATCTGGTAAGAAAGACCAGTCTTCTACGCTAACTTCTCTAATGTCGCCAGGAGCTGTGACACCATAGCTGGGCAAAAAAACACCAAAAAAGCAATATCATCGCAATATGTAACCTTTGCCTGTGCTTTAAAACGAAGAGTTTTCAGCCATTTCACTCTTTTCTCTTTATTGTAGATGCACAGCTGGAGAAACTTTCCATGTTTATGATTTGTGATGTTTTATTGTGTATGTATTTGATAGGTGTTTTTTTGTGTTAAATTCATCATTGTTTGTTTTGAAGTTTATTATTCTAGTCTACTTAACCTTCCAGAGGATTTACCCCCCTTCCTGGCCAGGCCATTTTTTTTTTTGCGATACGGTGCTGCGTTACTTTAACTGACAATTGAAACTGACAACTGTCAAATTAAATTTATGTCCTTTTTTTTTTACCACAAACAGAGTTTTCTTTCTGTGGTATTTGATTACCTGTGCGGGGTTTTTTTTTTGCGCTATAAACAAAGACTGACAATTTTGAAAAAAAAAAAAAACAATATTTTGACTTTTTGCTATAAAACATATCCAGTAAAAAAAATCAAAAAATCAAATTTCGTAATAAATTTAGGCCAAAATGTATTCTGCTACATGTCTTTGCTAAAAAAAAATCCCAATACGTGTAAAATAATTGGTTTATGTGAAAGTCATAGCATCTACAAATGGCGGTGGAATACTGGAATTTTAATTTTTTTATATACTAGTAATGGCAGCGATTAGTGACTTATAGCCAGGGGCGGACTGACCATTTGGAAACAAAAAAAGACTGACAATTTTGAAAAAAAAAAGAATATTTTGACTTTTTGCTATAAAACATATCCAGTAAAAAAATTAAAAATCAAATTTCGTAATAAATTTAGGCCAAAATGTATTCTGCTACATGTCTTTGCTAAAAAAAAATCCCAATACGTGTAAATTAATTGGTTTATGTGAAAGTCATAGCATCTATAAATGGCGGTGGAATACTGGAATTTACATTTTTTTATATACTAGTAATGGCGGCGATCAGTGACTTATAGCCAGGGGCGGACTGACCATTTGGAAACTCGGGCTCTGCCCGAGGGCCCGGGGTCAGTAGGGGGCCCCATGAGATGCCCCTGGTACCTTTTTCATAGGCTTTTTTAAGTTTGGGCAAGGACACAGGGGCCCCATGATCCCCTATTGCCCAGGGGCTCCATGAGTTGTCAGTCCACCCCTACTTATAGCAGGACTGCAGTGGGCATTCTGACACTGGGTGGGAACTGGCTAACTGCCACTGACATCCCCAGCAGGGGCGGACTGACCATTTGGAAATTTGGGCACTGCCCGAGGGCCCGGGGTCAGTAGGGGGCCCCATGAGATGCCCCTGGTGCCTTTTTCATAGGCTTTTTTGAGTTTGGGCAAGGACACAGGGGCCCCATGATCCCCTATTGCCCGGGGGCCCCATGAGTTGTCAGTCCGCCCCTGATCCCCAGTGACACTAATACAGTGATCAGTGCTAATAAAAAAGCACTGACACTACTAATGACACTGGGCAGGAACAGGTAAGCTTTTGGGCGATCAAAGGGTTAACTGTGTGCTGTATGTGTTTTACTGTGTGTGCTGTTTTACTACAGAGACATGCTGCTTTGTATTTCTCTACTGCGCAGAGAAATACAAAGCAGCATGTCCTTGCTGCCAGCAGAGACCTGTGTTTACACACAGGTCTCTCCCCTGTCAGTTCTACATGGCGATCACCAGGTACCAGCGGGGAATCTCCAGCCGGGATCCCTAGCTGCCAGTGGCGGTGCGGGTAAGGCATGCGCGTGCCCCCTACCCCGGAAATGCAAATCACACATATATATATATATTTATATATTCGTGACTTTGTGCAACCCTGCCTCCCTGTAGCAGTAGTTCTACTATAGGGCGGTGAGCATGTAATTAAATTTGTATCGCACTAACTATTTTATAAGCCTGCTGGTTTATTGTGATCCTTTATTTAAAAAACTGACTTGGTAAAACAAAATTTATGATTGAAAATGTATACTGAAAACATATAGGAACACATAGAACACGCAGGTTATGCAATAGGTATTTTTACGGAGGTGCTTTTTAAAATAAATCTTTTATTATACTATGTGTTTTAAGGTAGAACTAGGGGAAAAACTTTTTTCCATTTTGGATAGACTAAGGGAGGGTTATAACCCCTGTTTTTTTTTTTTTTTGTGCTGTATGTGTCCCATTGGGGAGATCCCCCTACTATTCCTTTCCCACAGCTAAAGCAGGATTAGAGAGGAAATCCCTCTAAAACAGCCTTTCTCAACCTTTTCAACACAGCGGAACCCTTGAAATAACTTTCTGGTCTCAGGGAACCCCTGCTAAAAATGACTACATCTACAACTCTTGGTACATTAGTGTTATGGTCAGTGGGGAGAATGCACCTTACACTTGTGGTCATTGGGAAGAATTCCCCCCTTACAGATAGCAAGAAAAGATCAATGGTGCCAGTGGGAACATATCTGAGAGGAGCCCTAATGTTCCATGGAACCCTGACTGAGAAACCCTGATCTAAAGTAATGGAATCCCTAATTGTCACCAGAGCTAGTGTTTACAATGGAGGATATACTCTCTCTTCCTGTTCTGGCAACAACCCAAAATTTGGGATTTCATTTTCAGTGATCACGGTCACCAGGAAAAGTATAGAGGGTGAATCTCCTAATGGGGGCTCTGACAGGTGTTGTAACCCCCCTCCTTATAATACAATGGGAAAAATTCTAGAAAGGTGATAAGCAGCATGAAACTACAGCCCCCTATCCTTCCTTGTAATGTATTTTCCCCTCTTTGGTGCTTCTTGTGAAGACAAAACTCCAGCCATTTTTTTTTTCAATTTTGGATGGAGCCGTGAAAAGTTTTAACCTTTGCTAGGTTTCCAGAGAGACAAACAGAAGTAAGTGAAAGTCTACTGGAAACTAGGGGAATTTCACCTGATGCATTCATTACTAGAACAGGCATCCTCTTTAAAAGATATTCCCTTTACCTCTGTTCCAGCGGCAACCACTTTGCTATCCCGTTAAAGTGGTCACCATGAATAGTTAATGTAGATCTCCCCAACAGTGACACAGACAGCCATAAAAACCAGACAGAAGGTTCTCAACTATTTCTCCATTCAGAAGTAGAAGAAGACCTATTGAATAGCGTTCTGCTAGACTGGTAATAAAGTACACTGCTCAAGAACATTAAAGGAACACTTTTTAATCAGAGTATAGCATCAAGCCAATTAAACTCCTGGGATATTGATCTGGTCAGTTAAGTAGCAGAGGGGGTTGTTAATCAGTTTCAGCTGCTTTGTTGTTAATGAAATTAGCAACAGATGCACTAGATGGGCAACAATGAGATGACACCCAAAACAGGAATGGTTTTACAGGTGGAGGCCACTGTCGTTTTTTCCCTACTCATCTTTTCTGACTGTTTTTTCACTAGTTTTGCATTTGGCTAGGGTCAGTGACAGTACTGGTAGCATGAGGCGATACCTCGACCCTACAGAGGTTGCACAGGCAGTCCAACTCCTCCAGGATGGCACATCAATACGTGCCATTGTCAGAAGGTTTCCTGTGTCTCCCAGCACAGTCTCAAGAGCATGGAGGAGATTCTGGGAGACAGGCAGTTACTCCAGGAGAGCTGGAGAGGGCTGTAGAAGGTCCTTAACCCCTCAGCAGGACTGATATCTGCTTCTTTGTGCAAGGAGAAACAGGATGAGCACTGCCAGAGCCCTACAAAATGACTTCCAGCAGACCACTGGTGTGAATGTCTCTGAGCAAACAATCAGAAACAGACTTCATGAGGATGGCCTGAGGGCCCAACGTCCTCTGGTAAGCCCTGTGCTTACTGCCCGGCACCATAGAGCTCGATTGGCATTTGCCATTGAACACCAAAACTTGCAGGTCCCCCACTGGTGCCCTGTGCTTTTCACAGATGAGAGCGGGTTTACCCTGAGCACATGTGACAGACGTGAAAGGGTCTAGAAAAGCCATGGAGAACGTTATGCTCCTTGTAACATCGTTCAGCATGACCGTTTTGGTGGTGGGTCAGTGAAGGTCTGGGGAGACATATCCATGGAGAGATGCACAGATCTCTACAGGCTAGACAAGGGCACCCTGACTGCCATTAGGTATCGGGATTAAATCCTTGAACCCATTGTCAGACCCTACACTGGTGCAGTGGGTCCTGGGTTCCTCCTGGTGCAAGACAATGCCCAGCCTCATGTGGCAAGAGTATGCAGGCAGTTCCTGGAGGATGAAGGAATTGATACCATTGAATGGCCCCCACACTTGTCTAACCTAAATCCAATAGAACACCTCTGGGATATCATGTTTCGGTCCATCTGAGGCTGCCAGGTTGCACCTCAGACTGCCCAGGAGCTCAGTGATGCCCTGTTATAGATCTGGGAGGAAATACCCCAGGACACCATCCGTCGTCTCATTAGGAGCATGCCACGACATTGTCAGGCATGCATACAAGCACATGGGGGGAAATACAAACTACTGAGTACCATTTGGAGTTGCTACAATGAAATTTCAGCAAAATGGACTAGCCTGCTGCATCATTTTTTCACTTTGATTTTCGGGATGTCTGACTTCAGTCCTCTGTAGGTTGATAATATTAATGCCCATCAAACGATGTGGCATCCTTATGTTCCTAAAATATTACCCAGTCCATATTAGTATAGATATCCAGCATGATATTTATTCTGATGTGTTTTCAAAGTGCTCCTTTAATTGTTTTGAGCAGTGTATATTACTAAATTACTGAAATTTGGTTTCTTCTTAAATTCTTCTTATATTGACACTTATAAGGTAAAGTGCTTCTTTTACATAGTGTCCCACCTTTACTAATGAGTTATGATGTGCTGTATCTCTATAAAGTTATACATGACCCTCTTGTTTTACAGCAATCTCTCCATACGACTTCTGAAAATACAGTATGGGGGAGATTTACTAAATTTGGAGCACTCAGAATCTGTCTCAGCTGTGCATGGTAGCCGATCAGCTTCTAACTTCAGCTTGTTCAATTAAGCTTTAACAATAAAGCCTGGAAGCTGATTGGTTTCTATGCAGAGCTGCAGATTTTGCATGCTCCGTTTTTAGTAGTAAATTTCCCTCTATATGTCCACCAATATGCTGTGATGCACAGCTTCTTAGAAGTTTGAACTGGAAATTGCCATCTTTTGCTTTGTTTGACCATAGTCAATAGCTGCCACTTACGATCAGATGGTATAACCCCATTCCCTGCCTGATACAGTATGTAATCTACTAGTACTACAGATGTAGGTGGTCACTGTTGGACTTAGACTAGAAGGGGATTTGGAAACACATCCCCTGCTGCTTTTTTGACATTGCACTAAATGTGTGGTTAGCTTCTTGACACTTTCTGCATTTCTTGTTTTGGTTCCAAGAGTCGTGGATCTCTCCAAGAATGCTTGCAGTTTGTCATTTTAAAGTCTAGGGAGTGTTTTCTGTCTAGTAACAAAATGTCTTGTGGTGACTTATTTCACAATGTTCAGCCTGTCTTACCTAATTGAGTTACTGACCTTATAACTTCAATATTCAGCCATATAACCATTAAGAAAAGCGGAAGTCAAACCACAGTTATAGGAAATTGAAACTTTTAAACTATAAATAATGTATATAAATAATGTATGGATCATCACATCAGTAGATTAGGTTGATTGAGCAATGCTGACGTTAGAAGAGTAAAGCTGAAATCAGGAAAACTAAAAAGTTCTTCTTTACAATTCTTTGCACTGCAAAGGTCAACTGGATGGTTAATTCTAGAGGACTGGGTACAGCAGTTTTATTTACCCGATCCTCTGTTTCCGCAGGCCCTTCCATGCTGCTAGATCAGTTCCCACTGCCTCTTCCCCTGCACTCCAGCAGTCTAAGGTCCTCCATGGTCATCAAGAGCTGGGGAACCGCAAGGAATGAAACCTTGCATTGGACATGCGGTAACTGAGGAACAGTCCACTGCTGGAGCGGAGGGGAGTGGTGTTTGCTGGGGAAGCGTATGATCAGGTCAGTAAAACTGCTTTTTCTGTCCCCTAAATGAGCAGTTAACCCTTGTAGATATCTTGTGTAACAGTTGGGATTCCAAAACTCTAACATGATAATCATTCCCCCATAATAACTGTACTTTTATTTTCTCCATCAGCCCATTCCCCACAGCTAATATCTTTTGCATCTTTTGGCCCTCCCTCTTAGATTGTAAGCTCTTATGAGTAGGGCCCTCTAATTGCTACTGTATTGAATTGTATTGTAATTGTCCTGGCTGCCCTCAGGTTGTAAAGCTCTGCCTAACCTGTTGATACTAAATAAATCCTGAATAATAATAAAAATAATAATTCTAGCTGTTAATAAATGTATACTTCATCCTTTTTAAACATCCATTCTAACCCTACTTGATATCCAGGTCATAATCACCTTGAAGGTATCCTTAGGAACTGCTTTTTTTCCACTTATAGTTTTGGTTCATTTTTACAAGGAGAAATGTTTGCTGGATGAATGCCATTGATCATTAACCTCTGTAGAAAGTTCTTGGGATAATGTAATGAGGGGAAGTGAGGTATGACATACTGCAGTTAATACCACTGTTAAAGGAACTGAAGTTAATAATCTATTTTGTGTTTGCAGTTGAAACTGGAGGTCATCACAGCATTATAGACTAAAGAACTCGGTATGGATAGTCTTCCATATGATTTCAACCAATATTTGGATATTTCAAGATGGAATGAGCCCAGTAAGTCAAAGGGGAATGAAATGCCAAAGAATGACACAACTGTGAGATATGGGGACACATGTGACTCTGGCTTTCAAAGCCTAAACTTTGTTCCCTCCCGAGGAAAGGCTCATAACGGCAAAGCTGACTGGTCACCTGAAAAGTCCAGTTTACCTGATGTTGCGGACCAATCAGAGACGCAGATGAAAGTGGATTTCTTCCGAAAACTGGGTTACTCTTCAGAAGAAATTCATTCAGTCCTGCAGAATCTTGGTATTGAAGCAGATACAAACAGTGTGCTGGGAGAACTAGTGAAACATGGAGGAAACCCGGAACGGGAGACTGTGCCTGAGGAGACCCAAGATCCTACTTTAGTCTCTCGAGGAGGTTTGGGGACAAGGGCAACCACATCTTCTGAGGAGGGTGACAGTAACAACCTAAGGCCAATTGTCATTGATGGAAGCAATGTTGCTATGAGGTTTGTTGTGTATCTTCTTTGATTGGGGGGTCATGACAAAACAATAATTTCCAAGGAAGCTGTAGATAGCCTGTTTAGTAACCTTTTCTGAATGTTTGACATTTCTATTATCTGGCCTACTGCAGAACTGTGCTGAGATAGATATTACATGACTCATATATTTGCCTATGCAAATATGATACCATAATGCTGGGCAATACGGAAAAGCACTACAGGATTTCTCACAATAGGGAGTGTATGCATATATGTTTACATGAAACAGGACGTAGGTAAAAACAGGTCATCAGCAATCATTTGAATCAAGCTTGTTAAACATAATAAAATGTAAAATACAATTTGTAAAATGTAGCAATCCACACAAAAATAATCTTTTATTGGTAATTCTGCTGTGAAAAAATCTGACTGGCTTGGTATAATTGGCTATACATTTGAATAATCTTTGTATATTCGGTTAATTTGACCTTTTTTTAGAACTGATTTATTTCCTGAAGCAGTATTAAAAACGTGTTGGTGGGGGTGAGCTTTCACCAAAACCTGCATATAAGTTGGCACATCCGTCTTTTGTGTCCTTCAAAAATGATGGGTCCAGGATCCTGTTAATATTTCACCCCCCAATACCACCATCTCCACTAATGTTTATTTTGGGCTCTGCAGCGATCCTCTTTCGCCAGTGGATGATACCCAGCTCTACAAAATACTGTACACCTACGTCATGCAGTGTACAGAAAGTACACATAGTCAACAGGAGCCAAGGCTAATCATTTTTGGCAAAACAGAATTTGCATGATTCTTTTGCTGGAAAAACTCTACCTCCTGGTGATTTTTTGATTGGGGAAGTTTAGTTCCACTTCCAGATTTTGCCAAGTTTACCATTCATGATGTCATGTTCCCTTTGATTTAGTCAAGCACAATATGAGTTCCTGACTGCAGCAAGTATGTTGCCAGTGAAATGTAAACCATCTGAACATCGGTGCCACCTGTCATCAGTGTCAGCACCTATTTTTTATTCCTGCAGGTTTCTTTTAATTCTTAGTTTTAGCATTACCTAATTTGGGAGTTTTGCACACATTCTAATCATCACTTAATACTGACTTTTTGGCCCAGTTAAGTAGGTCAGTAAGCCTGATGTGTTTCGTGTGACAATCAGTAAGCAGCACAATACAAGTTGGTAAAGCCTATGCAAAGTAATGACGCGTAGACTCTGTTGATTTGTGTAGTTTACAAGCAAGACTTGCTGCTGAATCATTTCCTGTTCTAGAATGGGTTTGCTAGCTGATTTTGAAACCTATTTCAGAGAAATTAACTCTACAAGATACAAACTCTTTGACCCATATTTAAATAGTAAAACAGTCGCACTTATGGCACTTTTTTTTTACCTTTTTTGCTTTTTGCTTTTCAGATGAGTTTTGTTTTAAAAAGTATATAAACGTTTAGGAGTGTACTGTATACATACCAAGAAAAGTAATAGGATTTTTTTTTGTTTAGATTTGGACTGTGAGGCGAAGGGTTAAAACCTCTACCAGGGTTTTACTGCTGATGTATGACCCTTGATGAGATTCTCCTTCACTTTATTTTTTGATGACAGCTGGCTAAAGCAGTTGGTACATATACCCAGTGAAGTGACTGTCCTCGGGTGATACATAGAGATGAAGTAAATCCTCCTACATTAGTTGTACCTGTCTATCTACAGCAGGGGCGGACTGTGCCCAAGTGCCCACGGTCAGTATTTGGCCCCATGAGATGCTCCTAGTACCTTTCATAGGCTTTTTTTGGGTGTAGTTTGAGTGTGGGAGAGGACACAGGGGCCCTATGATCCCCTGTTGCCTGGGGGCCCCATGAGTTGTCAGTCTGCCCCTGATCTGCAGTCTATCAGCCGTTTCAAGTGCTGGATTTATAAAGCTTGTCTCAGAGTTCAGAAAAAAGGGAGCAGAGAGCTGATTGGAGGGAAGAGATCGACCCCTCCCTCCACGCAGCTTACAGGTACATAGCAGAGTCTCAAACTATTGGAGGTCTCGCTCCTGTCAAAACTTGTCACAAGTGACTCATGCTGATAGCGGAGGAAATGAGTACACAGAAATGGCATTTAGTACTCTGGACTGAGACAATTACATACTATAGAGGGATGTGCTTTGCTCATATTTCATGTTTGAGGTTTACAACGACTTTAAAGTGTACAGTTTTCAGTTGAACAGTGGATGGGAAGTTTCCAAATATGGACACTTGCTCCACTGATAGCAGTCAATGGTGGGATTTCTTGTAAGTTTGAGATTTCCTCTTGGTTCTTGTCATTTCTATGGACAGAAGAGGAGGAGAATCTTCCCAGCAAGCACCCATTCAGCCATGTAAACCTGACATATTTAGAACATTTTCCTTTTCTATTTGAAAAACAGTTCTGGCTTAAAGTGTAATTAAACCAATCGTCGTGTGCTTTAACGTATGTGCTGTATAGAATAGCATTATAACTGTGGGCCATATATTGAAGCAATAAAATGGCTGCCGATATCTTTATCTTGATTTTCTGTAAGTTGGTCATGTGATCAATATACAGCTCCACTGCAGTCACTGTGTAGCATGTGGGTGGATCTCAGCATTTCACATGTCCTGCACACGTCACAGCAGTGTTTGTATACCTGGCTGTTGGCTGCCCAGAGCCGGTTGGTGCTCTGGCAGTCACCTGACAATTTGTAAAAAAAATCTAAATATTAAACAGTAATGAAAAAGCTAATTGAAACCATGCCTGCTTTATTAAAATGATAGTCATTAAAAAAAAAAAAAAAATCTTTATAATGTGGTCAGCCTCCCCACGTGACACACCTACAGGTTTGGGGGGCCAGGGAGTTCCCAGCTCAGGATTGAGAGCAGATTACTTATTCTTTTCTCCCCCTGTGGTTCAACTCACCTGACACGGGTGATTGTGTGACCATGAGTGAATGGAAACGGAAATCTACATGGATGTAGAATCATATAAAAAAAGAATTATATACATCGACAATGTTTATTTAAACACAATATTTATTATAATCATTTCAGTGCTTGGAGCAGTTTATTTTGACTGATAGCAAGGAGGAGTTTGTGCGCATTGACTTCTCCTGTCACACCCAGCATCTATGCACAGGAAAAATCAATGCATATAAACTTGCGATCAATCAACATAAACTCCCCCCTACCCCAATCATTAAAATGACTATAACAAATAATGTGTGTTTAAAATAAGCATTGTCAATGTAAGCAAGCATAGGCAATCATTCATTCCATGAACATTTTATATGATTTTACATCCATTTAGATGTGGTTTGTTTTCCCAGTTACTCATGGTCACGTGATCCCCCATGTCAAGTGGGCTGGACCACATGGGGAGAAAAAAAAGTAATCAATCTGGACGTTTGGCCACCCTGTTTATACCTAACTGCTCTATGCAATACCATCGCCTGATCCCCCCCCCCCTCCTGGGGTCCCCCGTTGGTGCTCTAAGCTCCTCCTCTTTTCCGGTGCCACCATAGGAATCCACTTTCTTTGATGGCATACATGCAGGAGCACTCCAGAGCCCCACTCTGTGTGTCCATAGACACACACAGCGGCGCTCAGCCCCGCCCCCCCCACTCACTGCTCACCGCCTCATATGACATATAGGAGTGTCACATGGTGAAGAAATCAGGGGAGGAAATAGTGCCTGGTTTCATCTACACAGAAAATGGAGCATGCACAGACAGAGTGGCAATGCAGAAGACTGTGGATCAGGCTCTATAGCATTGCCACTCTCATCAGGGAAGTCTTAGGCACTGGCAAAATCAACAAGTGTTTACCACCTTATTTTTTCAGTACACACAGTCTCCTATAACATTTTTAGAGCTAATAAAGAAATTGATTTTGGAATCACTGACACTGAAGATTTTGTAAACCTTGTAATACCACTGCACAGAGCAGGTTTATACCCCCCTCCTCTGTGCAATGATATTTTACAGAGCAACCCCGAACCTACTCTTCTGGGGTCCCCGGCTGGCACTCTTCTTCATGTGCCATCATATAAATCCACTTTATGTGGCAGCATACGTGCGGGCTTGTTCCCAAACCCTGCTGTATATGTACATAGACACACAAACTGCAGCTGCCCTGCCCGCGCTCTCTGCAGTCAGGATTTGATTGACAGCAGCAGGAGTCAATGGCTCCTGCTTCTGCCTCTCTGTCCTGTGAGAGAGGGTAGAGAGCCACTGCAGATAGGCCCAGCACTGGATTGACACAGGACTCAGGTAATTATATAGGGGGTGAGAGAGGGTAATACAAATATTGGAACATTTTTTACATTAATGCAGGGAATGCATTAAAGTAAAAATGTTTCCTTTTAGAACCACTTTAAAGTTTACTTCTATGGTTTGTAGGTTTCTATATTTATTACTCTAGGGCAGTGCTGTCCAGACTACAGCCTATGGGCCGGATGCAGCCCTTTTCCTGATTTCATCCGGCCCTTGGGGCATTATTCCACTTCTGTCAGCAACAGTGGGGCATAGTTCCTGCCACTGATAACAACAATGAAGCATTGTCTCTCCCACTGACACCAATGATGAAGTACTATTCTTCCTACTGACATCATTGATGGGGCACTATTCCTGCCACTGCCACCAATGATGGGGCATTGTCTACTGACACCAGGACATTTTCTACTCCCGCTGGCCACAGTCCAAGCCCTCCCCCCAAAGTTTGAAGGACAGTAAATGGGCCCTTTGTTTAGAAAGTAGAGACCCCTATTCTAGGGTATTTGGAAAAAAAATTGATGTATAATACCATATTTGTTTAAAAGAAAAAATTGGGCCTTATTACCAGATAAGCTAATTTAGTAAAGAGCAGTTTTGCTCTTTCATTTGAAGTCATGTTAAGTGCATACAGATTCCTAAACTCATCCTTCTACAGTGTAGATTTGACAATTTGTCTGTGGAGTAATATATAAACTCGTTTTTTTTTTGGCTGTGCTTTTCCACTCTTTGGGGTTAAAGACATCTGACAAT